GGGCAGGGCCAGGTCAGGGCATCTCTTCGTGGGTAACTCCTGTTATACGTGGGGGCCACTCACCAATCTCTACTACTAAATGTCTCCAAGAGGGCAGGGAAAGGGACAGTTTAGGGTGAGAAGCCCTTCTCAAAGAACGTTTAGTCCAACCTCATTCATGTTTGTACCACAAGGCATCATGTAGTTTGTAGCACACACGTCCCCTCTACCACCTCAGTTATGGGGCTTCTCAATATAAATGCCACCACTTCTACTCCTTAGAGGTCCTTGTGGTTCCGTGCCTGCTGGTCCCCAGCATGACTGTAAAAGAGGCCCAGTTCTGCCAAAGAATCTAGCCTCCTTCAAGTTTAGGAATGTGAGAAGCCAAATAGGAGCCTACATTTCTCCCATAAACCTCTGCTTGTTATAAACCCTGCACTGTTCCTGCAACTTTCCTCTAACGCTGCATGTTATGCAAGGACTTTTCAGATTTACAAACTCCTGGCCGAATCCCTCCAAGGTTACCCATGCCTCCTTTTCATTCAAGGATTTGAACATGGGATAAACTCAAATTCCTGGCCCTAAGGATGTCGTTAGATAAATCTAACACCCTGGAGCTCTGACCCGTCCTTCCACATGTTGGGAAGGCAAGGTCCTGCTGAAGTTCCCAGGCTATACACCAAACATGGGTTGGACTGAAGTATGCTTCAGGTCGACATGGAATCAATAGTGAATGCTCACATAAGCACTCAGTACCTGTGAGGCTGCTCTCATTTGCTATCTGGGGAAACCGAGGCAGGGGCCGAGTTCGTGGTTACCACATGAGGCTTATGTAGGAACGTGGGACATGGATTCCACAGCTGCCCAGGTGATTCAGGCTGTTTAGAAGTGGTAGAAGTGGTTTAGAAGTGAATTGATTTAGGGAAGGACAGTTGGCCAGAGCTGCAGCAAATACTTTAAGGAGGACAGAGTCCCCTGCAGCGGGTGTGGCTCTGTGCAGGTACTTTTGCTTGGGGCGGCTGGCTCCTGCCCACAGAAGCAGCCTGAGTCCTTCCCACATCAGTGTTAGGACCCTTCGGTGGCCCCCTCTCACCCACTCCTAGACAAGCTAGCAAGAACAATCTGCTTCCCCGGATATTCTGTGGCCTGGTTCCTAGAGAGGCATGCCTGGCGCTCTGTGGAGTCGCCGAAGAGGAAAACCGGGGCCAGTTGAGCCCTGCTATCAAGGATGGCTAAGGCCATTTCGAGGCTGGCTTTTGTAGCTGCCAGGACCCATAAGGACTCTGCTGAGGCTTGGGAGAATTGCCCCTAAGGTCCTGCTGGTTCCAGAAAGGCTATCCAGGAGACCTAGGAAATTCCCAGCAAGGCTCTCCACGTGCAGGGCTGTGTGAGTATGTCCCCAAAGCACAGGGCCTGTGGCCATGACACCATTCTCCTGGGGTTTAAGAGTAGATCTAAAGATAAACTGGGCATGGTGGCACATGCCTGTAATCCCAACACTCAGGAGGCTGAGGTGGGAGGATTGCTGTGAGTTCTAGGCCAGCCTAGGCTAGAGTGAGTTCAAAGCTAGCTTGATCTACACAGCAAGACCCTGTCTCAAAAAAAAAAAAAAGGCAAGAGTAGATCTAAAGGAAGGGAGGAACTGTGTATAAAATTAAGGCCTACAAAATTCCTCCTACATGTCTTAGGTGCTTTAGCTAACAGGAACAAAGCTGTTTTGAGGAGGAATCTAGCTGCGAAGTTTTAGTACTTGCAATATTTGTGTGCAGATTTAATGGTAAAAGGTGCTGTCCCTTCCCCTTGGAAATTTTGCAAGACGCTCATAGTCAAAGGATGGCTTTTGCCTTCCTCCAAGCGACTACTTTAGCCCAATCTGTTGCACATGTTCTGGGACCCATATGGCAGTCGGTCCAAGCAGACATTAGAAATCTAGCTTTCTAGGTGCAGCCTCTAAAGTGGCCAGAGACAGGCCACAGCAGAGCTGTGACAGAGGCAGATGAACTGCACTTCACTGCATGGCCCTGTCACCTTGGTCAAATGGCTTCTGAGCCTGTGTTACACATGAGATGGGACAGTACTTCACCTTGAGATGAGGCATAGTGAAACACATGGTCTATGCACAAGCAAAATATTAACCCCAAATATAAATGGCCGCTCAGCATCCCCTCTGCAGAAGCAAAGACACACCCAAAGAGCTGCTGCTTTCAACTGTTTTATTGCTAAACTATCATAGTACAAGCCGTATAAAAATACTTTACATATAGCAAAAATAAACTACATTAAACTGGAGATAAAAACATTTTGCATAGGAATGTGATGTATTCAAACTCCCTTACCAATCAGGATTTTCCCAATGTAAGCCTTCCAGCACCACCAAGCTGGAGCAGCTTGCATCTCTTGGAGAACTGTTTAGGACCCAGTATTTCCTCCCCTCTGAGAGTTGCAGAGGCAACAGGTGTGAGTGGGCTTCACTGACAAGGTGCTGGTCCCACAGCCACATTTGAACAGGCCAATCAGAATGCTGGGAGCACCTGTTGTCAAGGAAACCACATCATCTGCAACCATCGCATCCAGACCTTGAACCCAGTGTAGTCTGCCTGCAGTTTTGTGGACAGTGCCAACCCTTTCCTTTCCAGCTCCCAGGCCCCCATCACATTTTCAGAGAGGCTTGTCAGGAAGTACATTCACCAATTACCAGTTTGTTTTGACACAAACTGAAAGATGGCGACATCAGGAAGGAGAAGGGAAGCTGTGATCCTTGTGTTGTGTGCTGCTGCTGTCAAGGACTTTGTCAGGAGGCAGGAGAGTATCTACTGTATTTGCAACTGGCCTATTTGATTTCACAAGACTTCAGGTATCTGGTCCCAAGTGGGCTGTCTCTCAAAGAAAAGAGTTTGAAAGTGGTCACCCAGCTTGTTAGAAAAAACACTACCCTTGTGCCTCTTGTTAATGTGAAGTGGATAGAGTTAAGTGGACCATTGACATTCTCAAATCTGAACATTAGGAAGCATGTTGACAGTGTTCTCTTTGTGACTTGAAAATAAACAAGTTCGACCTCCCTTTAGTCCTGAGTGACAACCACGACACATCAGCTCCGGACCTGCCTAAATGTGGCAGTCTCGGCCTAGCCAAGACTCGCTTGTTGAGATAGATGTCTTGGCTTCAGAGTGTAAACAAAGAGGAGAAGAACAGCACTTCCCAGTTCTTGGAAGAAATCGGCCTCTTTCAACCTGGCTACACCGAGCTGGAAGGCACGGCTGTGCTTCGGTTAGCGTGTGCGGCGGTCCTCCACCAGGACTTGGCCGGCTTGCAAGGTAGCTCGCGCTCGCGGTGCTAAGAGTCGGAACTCTGAATTCCATCCGTCGCAATGCAAGCGGGCTCTATTGTTTCAAATCCAAATCACCTACTAGCTCATTTATTTACATTGCAGTTCTCTTCAGTGACCAAACCCAGGCCCAGGGCAAGAAAGTATAATTTTCCAACGAGAAGAAAAAAATAGATTCTTCTTCCACAAAGCCATCTTCTTTCTTGCCCTGAGATGTTTCTCCTTCTAGATAGATGCCTGCCAGGCTCAGAGGGGTGTTTTGGTTTTTTTTTTTGGGGGGGGGGGTTGGTTTGTTTCCTGGAATGATTAACACAGTTTTTTCAAGAATACACCATTTCTCGTAAGGGAAAAAGAAATCAACATACATGTAAAAAAGAGACACTTAAAAAGATTTCTGACCATTTATAAATATTTTCTAACTCTGACAGAGGTGCGATATTTGGAGGGCAGATAAGAGCATAAAAATACAGGTAAGAAAAATAAAAATTTAATTACATACTAATTAATTTGGATTGCATATATATATTATCAAGCAGCAGTATTTTTATACAATAAAGGAAGACTCGCAAACTTTGGAAGGAGACGACATTCAGCAACATGGCAGACCCATCGGCGCTACGGATTACCATGGATGTAGCAGTACAAGCCTTCACTCAACCGGGACTCCTTGGACACATCATAACACGCGTGTCCTTCCATGTAGACTTTACCTTTCTGCTTTTGAGGATCTGCCCTCCTCTTCCCATACTGAAAATATTCCATCATCAGTGACTTGGTAAGCTTTCCTCCTGGCATTTGTAACTGATACAACTTCCTCAATAGCCGCTCACTTCCCATACATTCTCCTGCCCACCTACATCTCAAAACTAGTGCTTTTTTTCTTTCCTTTGCTATTTGGTATAGTTTCATGAAAGTGCTTCCTATACTGTCTAGCTAAGATGTTGTAGAAAAAGGGGTTTATTGTAAATTACACACACACATGCACACGCGCGTGCGCACACACGTATAAGAATTGGAGCTACCAGGAAGCCCTTTTTTTGCTAACATGGTTAAAAGACTGATGCAAAAATGCACTAAGTCTCTTTTTACCCCTTGGATAATGAAGCTGAGCTACTCTGCTACTATAGCAGGAAGGCACTTGGGTAAAACATTCAGGTAACCAAGGAAAGGTCCAATTCCCTCATGTGCAAAATCAGCTCCTAGCCAGGTCAGGCGAGCCGGGTCGCTCACCATGCCTGCGTCGTTCTTCCTCGCTGTAGTCAGGACTGCTAGAGCGAGCAGTCTCAAGGCGGTCAGGCTGCGTGTGGGAGGGACTCCCATTGTTTATGAGGAAGCATTTAGCAGCATGACAGCTCTGTGTGTTTAGAAGGAAACTCTGCTCAACTCTGCTTGGGGTGGGAGGGGAGAAGGACCCCTGCCATTAGGGGACACAACTGCAGCAACCAGCGGAGAACACGCCTCTGCGAGGCTAGATCTGGGCACTTGGCCTTCTGTTGGGGGCACCAAGCAGACCTGGCCCAGCTCTCAGCAAGGATTACCTCTGAGTGGCCTTGACCCCACAGGACTCTGAAAACCCACTTTGGGACTGTGACTTCTTTCCTAGGCTTTCTGCTTGGCAGGCTGCACTGAGCAACCGCCCGCAGCACACCCTTGTGGAAAGGAGCGAGACGATCTGCACCTTGCTGCTCCGGGGGGCATAACAATGGCTGGAAGCGAATGTTAGTTTGCCCTGAAGTCTGCACTGAGTGCAAGCAAACCCAGTGCTTCGAGAGAACTCTCTACCCGCAAACGCACAGGGTCTGTGTGTCTGCAGCAACTAACCAGAGGAGCCTGGGCAAGCCTGGGAGGGGATGGACCGCACACAGCAGGCAGCTGGTCTGAGCAGACCGCACTCTGGCTAAGGTCACACTCACACAGAGCGGCTCCCGGCTGGACACGGAGACTGATACAGACCGGGCCCCGGAGCCAGGGTGCTAAGGCCCAGGGGAGCTTTAAAGGGTTCAAGTAAAATTAAGGAGCTCTGGGGAATACCTGTGCTTCCCTGTTTCTCTTGGAGTTTAGGCATGAGAGAATTCAGCTCTTTTCCTCCATCTTGGTGGGAACACACTTACAAAAGCACTTAGATTTTAACAAAAATCCCTGCACTTTCTGTTTTTGCATTAGTCCTCTGGCTGCTGCTGCTCAACGTTCAGCATGCAGCCTAAGACTCTCTAACTCATGTTACATTGCTCTGGCTGCAAGGAAGACAGGAAGGAAGAACCGGGCAGAGGTGGTCACACGCTGCGGCTGGGCCAGCCCAGTCCTGACGTTCATTAGTGCGGGCTGCAGGGGTCAGAGAAGCAGGCCAAGAGGGCTCCATCCCCAGCCTTCATGGCCTGCAGTCTGAAGCAGAGAAGAAAAGCAACCATGTACACATGTCATAAGTTAACACTGAGAAGTTTTAACAGATGATTTTGTCTGTGCAAGGGCATTTTGTTTTGGAAGGAGAAAATTCCAAACTAAAGCTTTTGCTGTGGCCCAGCCAGGCGTGGACAAGGTGATCTCTAAGGACGATGGTCCATTTCTGTCTCAAGCATGAAGGCCTTGGGTTTCTTGTGAGGAAGCTGAATTTCAGGGCTACATTCTTTTGATTGCCTTGAAAGCCCCTCTTTTAGAAGGAAGAGGAGCCACTTCTGTGACTGGAGCAGCAAGCGCAGGGCAGGCTCCACCCCGGCACCCACAGCTCAGGCCCCCAAGCCGCGTCACTCGGGTCACAGGTGGGCTGCAGCGCCCTGTTGCACCCGGAATGTGGCGCTGGTCAGCAGGCACTTGGTGTGTGGGTGCGTCCCCTTCAGACCAACCAGGATGTTCTTGGGGCTGAACATCCAGCAGGAGGGAGCGCTCCTGTGTCTACAGAGAGGCGGAGAGAGCTGCTCCTTCTGGCCGGCTCCACGCCCAGACATTGTTCCCAGTGCGGCCTCTGGCGGGGAGACGGACAGCAGAGCACAGAAGGCGAGCGGTTGGAGGCTCCAGGGCCAGGACAGAAGGCGTCGGACGCGGGGGTGGCTTCTACGTCTGAGTTGGGGCAGGAGGTCCTGAAAATTCCTTCCTGATAATTTCATTAACTAGAAAAGAAGAAAGAGAGGGGTGAGAAGGTACCCTAAACACGTACCAGATTAGCTTTATAGAACTTCAAACCGTTTCTTGTGACTATACATTTGGCATTTTTGAACCAAAACACATTCCTTTTAGGGTTTGTTTTGGTTTGGTTTTTTTGAAATCTTCGTGGCAGACCTGGATGTGGGCCACGGGGCATGCTTTAAGTAACTCCCTGCTGTCTTTCAGCTAACACGCTTAGACCTCTGTCTACCAAACCCCCCGTGCTCACCACATCCGAACACACCTGGTAAGTGAGCCAATCTAAGGAAAAAATGGGGACCCCTTATGAAGACAGGAGTAGAGAATTCCCCAGTCAAAACTCACCAGCAATTTAAGCATCAATTTTATTTGTTGCAGCACAACTAGGGATTATTTTCTAGCTGGTGAAAGGGTCTTGCTGCGAGTCTTCAGAACTCGTCCTCCAAGGGATGCTGGGTCATCCTCAGCCAGTAAGCAGGTGGGGTCTTAATGGGAATCACAGGTGCACCAATGGCCCCGACATCAAGTCAGGGGCTCCCCTCTGGCCACTTCTCTGAGGTCCTGGTTTCTGGGGTCAGGTAGGGAGGTCCTGGGATAGCGCCTCCTTCCTGAAGGTTCTTCAGTCTCCCCAGAACCAAGCTGCCCTCACAGCAGGGCCATGTCACTGGTGGGAGGGGGAGAGAACTGAGCCCCCTGAGGGGTCCCCTCAAAGCTTGGCCATTCTCCTTCCCTGGTTCTGGCACAGCCTTCCTCCTGCCTCATAATCTCACCTGAGCATTTTCCTCAGAGAAGGATGGGAAATGGGCAGAAAGAGCAGGGCTGTCAGGGAGCTGGTCCCTTGGGTCACCCTGCCTGGTTGGGTCTGTGTCCCCCCCAGAGATAACAGAGGTGGGAAAGACACAAAGTGTTAAAGAGCTAGATTAGTGGACTGGGCTCTCAGCTCTCCCTAACTGGCTCTGTGACTTTACCTGTCTGTGCCTCAGTGGTTCCATCAGGGAAGTGGGACTCAGAACAGTGCCTGCCTCCTAGGGCTGTTAGAAGCCAAGCAGAAAGGGCACCACGGTGCCCAGCCACCTGCCACATACTCAGGGCTGTCCATGGTGGCATCCTGAGGCGAACAGGTCCTTGCACCAAAAGGCTCCATTTTGTTCCAGAAGGTTGGGTATGACTCCCTATCCCTCGGGTGCATGCTGAAGGCCCATGCAGGGTAAGGGCGAGAGCTCGGCTTCTTGTCCAGACAGCGGGGGTCAGAATCTCCCCTTGGTTGTGTCCCTGCTTGAGACCCCTGCTTTTGTGATGTTAACTGTTGTGTGTCCCAGTGTTCCCACCTGAAAGCTGTGTCTAAAAATAGCTGCCCGCTAGAGCTGTGGGAGCTGGGAGAGACAACGTAAGTAAAGAAATGGTCACAGGGCCAGAAGCTGTGTAGGACAGAGTGGCACCTAAGGCCCCTGGCTGAGCATGTGAGCCTGGGAATGGCCAGTGCTGCTGGGTGGGGGTCGGGGGAATGCTCTACTAACCGGACCCGAGCTCAGTCCACCGGCCCACAGCACTTCCCGGCCACATTCTGTGCACCTGGCCCAGGGGCTCTAACCATGATCATGGATGAAGAAGGCCAGGCCTGCCTGTGACCTGCCCGCAAGCTGCTGACTGCTGACCCCTGCAGAGGCAGTGAAAGGCCGATGCCAGGGAAGGAGAGAGGCAGTGAAAGCCTGTTGCCAGGGAAGGAGCTGGGTAGCTCCACGCACAGCTTTCAAAGCCCGGATTTGGAAGGCCTTCCTGTTTTCTCAACCTCGGAAACCAGAGGAGTCGATTCTTAATGGAAATGTTCCATAGCTTCAGCTTTCTAAAAATAGCTGGTGGCAGAGTTGCAGGACCTTGGCCCTCCAAATGGGGTCGCTTTTCCTCTCAGCTGGGCAGCGGGGCATTGTCCCACCCTTTAGATGAGACCCAGTGTGGGCTGAAAGCTACCTTCAGGCAGATGTGAACAGTCTCTTCTGAAAAATGAAACAAATGCTTTGCATTTAGACCTCTTTACTGCTGGGGTGCGGGTGGCTCTGAGCTTTAGACCCCCTAAAACCTCTCTGGGTAGGAACCTTTTCATTGTAAAACCCTAGTTTGCTCCCCTAACTGTAGGAGGGAAAGTTCTAGAACCAATATGCCAGCTGGGGGTGGTGGCTGGAGAGCTGCATCAGGCTGAAAATGTGGGATCTCAGTTCTGAGCGGGGCTTCGCCCCAACCACTTCAGTCAGAGTTGACCACCTGCCTATAGGAGGTCCTGCTGCGGGGAGCCGAGGTGGAGGGGACACCTTGCAGCCACCTGAATCCATTCCAGTGTCCCCCATGACGCTTCACCTTAGGGGAAGGATGGGGGCCCCCCTTACTCAGCCTCCACCTCCTCTCTGCAGTCTCTCCCTCCACAGCTCCTCTCTGTGCTTATGCCCTCAGAGGCAGAGCTGGGGCCCTGGGGCCTGACCCTGTCCCCTCTGTGGGTGCACATGCTGTCACCCTCCGCCTGCTCCGACATCCTTCTGCCCGACTTGTGCCACCCGAACCGCTGCGCTCTGCTCCCCTGGGTAGGATTGTACCTTCCCACGTCACTCATGCCTGCCCCACCACAGCAGGGAGGCTCGGGCCCAGGCTACCACAGCCTGCACGCACACGGGCTCTGCTCCCCCTCCGCAATTTCTATGCTGTGTGGGCTGGTAATGCCCTGCTGTGTCCTGGACCTGGGAACAGAGCCTAGCTGAGCTGAAGGCATTTCAGGGCCCACTCCTCTGAGAATGTTATTCACTATCTGGTGCCCTTCAGCCCTGCCCCTGGTCCAGATCTAGCTTCCCTTCCCGTCCTGTCCTCACACCGCTCTGCCTGCTCTGTGGGCACTGCGGCCTCTTCACTACTCCACTGTGCCACTGTAACACAAAAGCAGTTGGGCAAAACGGCACAGGTGTGCTCCAGTAAAGCTTTGGCAAACCATCCTCAGGACCAGATTTGGCCCAAGCCTGCCTAGCACCCATGGCAAACTGAAGTATGGATCTGTCTGTAGCTACTTTTCGAAGGTAGCAATGTGGGAGCCCTGGCGTCAGGGAGTCCCGTCATGATGCTGGATCAAGGCAGTGATAGATTTCTAAGAGCTGGATGTCTGCCTGGGAGATTGTTGATTGCTCTGAGGGCCCAGCCTGACTTCCTTCTCCTCCATGAGCACAGAGTACTCAAGTTCTGGCCTGCAGAAGAACAGCTGCCCAGGGCTGCAACTGGAAGACCACACCAATCTACTTCGCATGCGGGACACGTTTTCTCTTCCAGGCCTCCGCATGGTAGCTACAGGGGACCAGACCAGGAGAGTGCCCAGCCCCAAAGGTCACAGAAGAAAATGCTCCTCCAGCTGGGACAGGAATGGGAATTGGAGAGGCAGGAGGGGTTCAACCTAAACTGCACGCCTCTGCCTGAAGCACCTTGCTGAATTCAGTCCAACGGGGACCACACCGGAGTCAGAATGAAAGGATATTTGACAGCACCTAAGACAGCCTCTAGAATCTGCCTTTGTCCAAGGAGAATCTACTCTAAAGGCCAAGAGTGAGCCCCAGCTGCCTTGCAAGAGAAGTTAGCCTTGGAACCTCCTGGGACTCCTGCTTACGAGTGAAAAGACAGTAGCTGAGGACACCGCTCTCTTGGACTCTGCTCTTGCTTGCTGTAAGACTTTCCAGTCTTTGATGTTCTCTGCACCCTTGCAGAGGGCTCTGGGCCCTGGGGAGCCCTGACGAATGTTCCAGAAAGAGCCTAGCCCAACCTGAGTCTACAGGCTCAATGAAAAGAACAAAAGTCCCTTGCTAGGCCTGTAGCCCACAGCCTTGGGATTCAAAGAGTTGGGGTCAAGCTACAGGGCTATGCCAGCCCGCCCAGGCCCCGGGGGCTACCTGCCATCAACGCAGACAGCCCCCTCACATTCTGACCATCCAGGCCCTCAGGAGCAGGCACAACTCACTGTGCGGCACCTGCTTTCTGACAGTCCCTATGGAGAGTGCTGGAGTCACCAGCCTACCCCTGTGAGGTCATTCCAGGATTGGGGCACTTGGGGACACCTCAGTAAGCCCTGTCGTCTAGGACACGTGGCTCTCTCCACTGGGGGCCATTAGTGTCATTCCCCCAGGATTTCTAGACCTGTGTGCCACAGCACACATGAACCACCATTACAACCCTGGCTGGCCAAGTGCCCACCGTGTCTCCAACACTGTGAGCGAGGTTGCGTGGTTCTGGTTAAAACCCTGGCAAGACTAAGTGACAGCCCTGGCACGTACGTAGCAAGGCACAGAGAGGTATGGTGACTTCCTCGGGTCCTGCGTGGACTCCGTCCTCAGATCACCCTGCCTCGAGTTTGCACCACACGCTCAGGTTGGTCTTAGTGAGCAGACTCTGCCCAGGCCCTGTGGCCCAAGCTCACGCAGGAGGGTCTCACGGTGGAGGCCAGGTGAGGCCCGCTGGGCAGCTGGGAAAACCACATCTCTGGTTTTCAGATTTTAAATCCAGAACTGAAGCAGCAGCAGAGTAAGGCTAAGGCACATGATAAAGCTCCCAGGAGAGGTTGAAACTGAATAGTGGGAATTCGCTCAGCACTTCCTGCAGAGCTCCCTAGGGAGACTGCCACTCTGCCCCCGGTCCCCATGCAGACCCCCACCCCATGGACGGAGCGGGGCACACACTGCATGCGAGTCCTGGAGGAGGGAGCCCCTGGCAGCGCATGCAGACCCCCAGGGCCGCACCCCACCCCCACCCCAGCCTCACAGACAGAACGTGGGCGCTGGCAAGGACCAGCCCACAAGAGCAGGAATGTTGTCATGGTGATGGCTGGAGGGCAAGGCGAGGCGGCCTTTAAGTTACAAAGTTTTCTTAATTAAAAAACCCTCGAGGAAACACACGGCTGGAAAACCAAAGGAGAAGCAGAAGATATCAATTACCTTTAACTTTGATTTCTTGGATCAAAGATCACAGTCATTCTGTTTCATAATATGTTTTGTATCCAGCTAAGGTGTGTGTCTATCAGTTCTGAAAAAGATGTGCAAAACCATTTTTGAGAAGAAAATCACCTTTGATTCTCTATCACGCTTCCACCTCCACTCACAGCAGTAACATCGACTTCACGGGTTTCTCCCACTCGGAGCCCAGCAGGAAACATAACCCATTGGCTTTCACTGAAGCCCGAGTTTGGCATCACCTCAGCATCTGTACCAGAATTAATGGAACCACCAGGGCAATAATCACTGAGCTAAGGGTCTCTGTACAAAGAACTTGGTGGGATCAGGGGATCATGGATGTCTTTAAAGCCAAAGGCCTCCGACCTGGAGTTTCACATGATGGCCATTTGAAGAGAAAAATTTAAAAAAAAAATTCAAAAACTGGCTTCCACTAGAATCAGAATTCCATGCACGACCTCCTCAAAACAAAAAAGTTACACTCTCTCTGCCTCTGCTCAGCCAGGGCCATGGAGGCAGCTGAGAAGAACAAGCCCTGGGCTGTTAGGTTAGAACCTTTCTTCCATGCTTTCTCTTTCATGTTAAATGACAGGAAAGCACCCAGTTATACCAGGCTCTAACATCCAAAAATTTGTCTCCCCCAGCCCCTTTGAAGGGCTACACCGCCGGCCAGAGTCCACTCTGAGTGCTCCACATTCAGTTTCTTGCAGGGAGTGAGAAAGAATAACGGGATCAGGACACATGAACACCCTTTCCGGGAGGCTGGAAGCACCCCGAAATCTCATCTCTGAGATCACAAGCGTGTTTAGAAACTCTGCAGGCACAGGCCTGAACTTCCACTGGACAGCGCTGTTTTCAGGCCAGAGAGCCACCCCAACTCCCTGCCACCTCAGCCTGGACCATGCCTCTAGGCCCTCCTGAAACAATGCCCATGCTGAGGTTCCAGCTGTGTCTGGCTACTGCAGTGCTGTGTTCTCTCTGTTACTCCCTGGCTTTGTCCACATCCAGGAGCAGAAGGCTAATTCTCCGAGGGCCTTGAAACACTACTTGCATCTTGATAGCTTTGTTCCTAATTTTGCCAACACCAGAAACCCTGAACTTCAGGTTTAGAAGTCAGGACACCCACTGACTCTCAAACTCCACATGGCCCAAGCCAATTTCTAGCTAGACCCTCATTACAACTTCGCCCTCCCTCCTTCCAAAAGTAAAGTCCCCTGGCTCCCCTGATAGAAAACATACATTCCCCCACCCCCACCCCAGGCTCAGGTCAAGCGTGGTGTGTGCCCTGGCTTGCTTGCCAACCTCATCCCACCCTCTCCCTCCAATACCCACAGACTAATGGCTTCCTCTGCTGCTGCTGGCCTCAGGCTCCCTGCTCACTCTGTGCCCCAGCAGGGTGGTCCTGCAGGAACTACCAGAACGTGTCCCCCTCCCCCATCTTCCATGAATTGTTACTCCTGGAAAAATAGCTCATCCAGAGTCACCTGTCTGGGCGGCCCTTCTTAGAAAGGTGTCACGTGCGGGTCTCACCCTGGCAGGAGCAATTCCATTTTAGGGAGCATCCTAGAGACTATGCACCTGGCAGGAGCAAGGGTTCCACCTCTGAGCCCAAGAGGGTAAGGCCCTGGCTCCACCTCAGAGTGCAGCTTCCTGCAGTGGGGTTGTGCAGAGTGCTGAGACTGCTTCCTGTCACGCCACAGGGCTTCACTCCATTTCCCCTTGGAGGTGGACAGAGGGGTGGCAACGAGAGGTGTGTCTGGTCTAAACTCCAACTCGGGCCTTGGACTCCTGCACACAGTCCTCGCCGCACAGCTGTCTGTGCTGCCTGATTGCAGCCTCTCTGCCAGCTCTGAGGCGCTGGGGGCTCGGGGCAGGGCACCCCCCAGGTCTAGGTACCAAAGCAGGAGAATATGTAGGAGCCCCAGCGTGGGGCCCCACGGGATGCAGCCCTAAGCCAGGGTATCCTAAATGTGAAAGAGGCACAGAATGCCCTGGGAGCTCTGATGCTGTGGACTGACATCAAAAGCCTCTGGGGCGAGAACACTCTGGAGCGGCTGAGTCTCACAGCCTCTCACCTCAGCCCATTTCCTTGTCCACAAAGTGGGGCTGACAGCGTTGTGCTAGAAGATGGCCAGGTGGGTACACTGGCTCCTGCTTATTAACCTGCCACAGGGTCCCCTAACAAGGAAGGATGGGGGAGAGAAGGGGAAGCAGACCAGGAGTGACCTAAGGCAGACTGCCCCAGGAAGCAGGAGTCTACGGTTCCCTGCAAGGTTACACAGGGAATAAGGGCTGCTGATTTCCAGAGTGTAGGTCAGTTGCCAGGAAAATGCAGATGGACGCAGGGGAAAAGTGTTTGGAGTTAATAAAAGCTCCTTAGGTGCAGCCTACAAATCCAACCAGAGACCCCCTACAGCTCCCTCACAAAGCTGCAGTTTGTAACCTACAAGGATGCTGCCTTGCTTGGCCCCAATGTGTGGAGCGTCCTACCGGTGCTGTGGATGAGCGGATCAGCTCGGATGCAGCTCGGATGCAGCTCGGAAGGGCCCTGCCGACTTCCTAAGGAATGAGGAACTTCCTAATGAACTGTGAATACAGGGAGGTCAACACACTGAGGAACCTGGCATTGAAACCAGACAGCTCACTTCCCAGGTGTCCAGAGTCACAGGCACGCGCACACACCGCACAAGATGGCCCCAGATGGGGCCATCTGTGTGCATCTATCTTGTGGAGCCGATGGCAACTGGAGATGGGACCGAGGCACGTTCAGCCTCAGGTCTATAGTGCAACACAGCGTCCCTTCTGGCCGCTGGAGCGGAGCACCTGTTGCCGCCTGCTCCATCCCCCACTTCCTGGTGACAGCACATGATTTAAATAATGAAGAGACACCCAGTGAGTGCGCTCCCAGGAGGGCCCCGACCCTGTGTCCTCAGGCCTGAGCTGAGAGGGCCCCTCCTCCCAGGTTCCGTTCCCCAGCTCAGCAGAACGTCCTCCAACACCAGCAGCTCGGCCGCCCCGCTCCCTAGCGACCACGTGGCTTCTCAAGTAGCAACCGCAGGCAGGAAAGCACTCAAGACCAACAATGCTTGCTTCCTTCTCCTCCTGCCACTCGCCACAGCCCGGCCCCAACCTCTGTGAGGAGCACTGGCCACAAAGCAAGCACTGAAAAACAACCTGCTACCTTCAAGCAAAGGCCAAAGCGGAGTACTTGCTACATGGAGCTGAGATGCAGGAAAGAGCTAGCAATCCAAACCCACCAGGCAGCCTGCAACCACAGACAGGGTGATGACATAAGCCTAATCGGGAAGCCTTTCTTCTCTATGGGCTTGGAGGACTTAACCAAAACCCGTCTTTAGGGTCTCACTATGCAGCTCAGACTCATAGTGATCCTCCTGTTTTCAGCCTCCTCAGTTCTGGGATTACAGGCGTGCGCCACCACACCCAGGCTCTTGTCTTAAGATTTTTATCTTTTCATTTGAGAGGAATGGAAGGCCAACCAAGGGAGACCAGGCAGACCTCCAGATGGACCAGCAGGGGGCAGCCTGGAGCAATAAGAAAGGTTACAGCCCAGTCCTCACCTGGAGGAGGCCCAAGGCTCCCTGCCCTGCCAGCTGACCTCTCCCTCCGACTCCAGTTCCCTGGACAGTTACCCATTCTCCCAGCCCTGTCTCACCCTCCCAAACACCCACCTTCTGGATTTTTGTGTGCTCCTCCGACACAGGACACCCACACACCTCTCCCAAGCAGGTGTCAGGTCCTCCCCACCCCGACTGTTAAGTCTTGAGTTTCCCACAAAACACTCAGACACATCTGCCTCCCTTATTCCTTCCAGATTCACAAGCCAGAGAGAGGCCACAAGTTCCCCGGAGGGAAACTATAGGGTCCAGGTGGGCTCAAGAGTCTGGCCTCAGCCTCCTGAGATAGCACGCACAGCCTGGCCTTGGGTCTTAGCACTCCCAATGCAAACGCTGCCCAGAGCAATTGGCAAGGAGTATGCGACACTGTCGCAGGATCTAGCCTTGATGTCTGATTTGTTTCAGAGATCAAGCCTTTCGCTGCCAGTCTTTTCTGTGGATTGCAATGTACATAACCCCTGTCCCCAAAACCCACCTTGAAGCCCTCACACCCCATGCAACAGTATTTGAAGACGGGACCCTCGGGAGACAGTGAGTGCTCGACAGGGTCACGCTGGTGTGCTATGATGTGACGGGCACCCTTGCCACCACCCCAGGAGACAGTCTCTCCATCTCATGTGAGGACACACTGAAAAGGTGGTCACCTACAAGCTGGAAAGAGTCCTCTGCAGTCTGTGCAAGCCAGCACCCGGATCTCAGACTTCCCGCCTCCAGGACTGAGAGAAGGTATGTGTCCGTGACTGAGCTGTCCCCAGATGCTTTGTCATGCAGCCGACGCTGACCATTACAGGTGGCCTCAGCCCACCGTAAGCACTTTGATCAAAGTCTGTTCTACTCTAATGTTCGAATACCCCAGTCCCCGTTCACATGCTGTTCACAGTAACATCAAGGTCAGGTGATCTGGGCAGCATCGCAGCGCTGCTCCAGGCCTCCCTCTCTGCCTGGCCTTCCTCTGCATCTGCAGGCTCCTCTCACCCTGCCCAGCCCCGTGTGTCACTGGTGGGTCCTGACAGATGTCGTCCCTTTGTGCTCCTCGGCCTCCCCATCCCAAGACGCGGCCCTATGCCTGGGAGAGGCAGCTGTCTCTAAGGGTTGGGGCTGTCAAGCAGAGAGGCCAGGGGCTCACACCCTAGGGCTGGCGCCACGGGAGACACTGTGACAGCTGTGGCACGGCCTTTTGCAGGACTGCCCTGTGCTCCCTTGGTGAAAAGGAGGTACTGGTCTGGCTTCGAGGGTTCCGACCAACAAAGCTAAGTGTCCCTACAGCCCAGGATGCAGCACTTTGTGTGACACCCCTTAAGGGAGTGGGGGCCAACCTTCTAAGTCCTTGAGCCTCAGCGTGCACATCTGCAATGTAAAAATGTCTGGATTTGGCCAACCCAAAGAAGGCAGCAAGCAGCACTCACAGCTGTGCCCCTTCTCAGCAGCCCTGGCTCAG